CTTCTCCGACTTTTCCATGTCTGAGTGCGAGTCGAGAACTTGCCTACTGACACAGTGGCTGCTTCTCGCTCGCGGTCGCCTTCCCCTCACTGATCAAACAGCGGACTGCAACTGCACTCAGCGACCAAGAAAACTCACACACCGGTGGTACATTAATTTTGGGGACTTTTGGACGTCATCAACTAAAATTTCACTTTCTTCGTAAAAAGAGCACGTCATCATCAGCCGACAGACGTTCCTCATCGCGCAGCGCCTGTTTCGGAGAGGGACAAGGAGGAAATTTCGCGCAGCCGGCTTGCGGCTTGTCTAATAATAATCTAAACGCGCATCGCCGAGACGTTTCATCATCGGCGCCTGCTGTCGGTGTCGTCGTTACAGCATCCCATCACTGACAACACACGCACGTAGAGAACAACAACCAAACACTTACTTGTTGTCATATTTGGATACTTTCTTCAGGGTCGGCTTTACGCTAAAAGAGGATCATTCTTTTATTCAGGGTCACGTGACAGCTTGTGTCGTTACTTACAATTTGCCTCTCAGGTCATTGACTTGAATCGTGAGTTCGTTTATCTAAAGAAACGCATATTTGTCATGGCCTCTAGCGAAGCGCATTAATGAAAACAACAACATATCACAAATAGCTTTAGCTTCATAACTTAAAGCTATGAATAGCCGTATCGAACATGGATGCATTATCTCGTGTAAGAAACAGAGCAACGTTGTCAGTTATCATATCTCATAGAAAGTGCGCAAAATTCATAGCTTCGCAAAAAGCAGATCCCCACTCCCTCACGTCGTCCTTTTTTCCAAAGAAATTGACGTTGAACAACTGACGGCAATGAATTATGGATTTGGGGAAACAGTCAGAAAATTTTCACTTTTAATCCAAACATCTGTCTTAAGCAAGTTGTAGCAAGAGATGCACCAAAATTCAACCCCCCCTCAAACTGCAGAAAGCATGATGTAGCGCGAAATAGGTTATTCAGTTTGAAATTAAATGCGGTGAATGATTTGCATGATCCAGCTTGACTTGTACGTGGATAAATAGTTGAGGTGATGGCATAGTGGCAGGAGGTCAGTTTCGAACTCTGGAGGTGACGATTTCGAATTCCGAAAAAAATTCTCATAACCGCAAATTAGTTGGCTAAAAAACAAAAGAACAGGTAGCAAGTCACTGCATTGCGAACAGCATAATGTTCTTGTGCGATTGTTTCAGAATGGGCAAGAGATGACGCCATGTTATCAGATTAGATAACGTTTTTTAGCTCTGCAATTTACCTTAGTCAATCTGATAGCTGACTATGCAGTGCAATAATCGGTACTAGGTATAAGATCTTTTGTCATTATTCCATAGCGGGGTTCCATTATTCCATACCCATTGCCATTTATCATGAATCTGGAAACCACTGGTTAAGGATAGAGCATTGAGGGATAAAGTTTAATAACTGAGGTGGGTCAGCGAAGATTACAAGACATCGCGGCTTAGTGCTCGTTCAACTGTAAATATAGCGCTTGAAAATAAGGCAATCTTGACTATACTTCTAATGGTTAGACAATAAATCTGGAATGCTCTGCTATTTAAGCTGTACTTGCCCTCTATAAATACGACAACAACAACTAGAACAGCGATAATCTTGACTAATGGCAGAGTAACGCTGATTGGTGCCTCACGATGTCCATGAAAGAATGGTATCGGGAGTGGCGCCAATCATAAAAGCCTAAGGAAAATACACGCCCACGGGTTAAAATCTTGTAACTGTAACAAAATAACTGATCCATGGCTAAGAGAATGAAACAGCTACTGCTGAAGCGCTTATAACCATTGTTATTGGAAGAAAAGGCTTAGATAGCTTTGCTTTGGGCCCTGAAAATGGATCATCATAGTTCAGACAGCGGGCCCAGAATCGAAAACATAATGCCTTAATTAACAGTCACAAATTTAAACGATAGGGTATGTCTCTCTATAAGAAAAATAATCTTGACATATATTTCGATAGGAAGATTGGAGTCCTGCGAAATCATGCGACCTGTTCATCATATTATCAACTTTATGAACATTGATTAACTGAATTTTACTCCTGCTTTTTCCCAGCTTTCCTCTTATAGCTTGAATGGAAAACCTTGTACTGAAATCTAACATTTTTGTATGGACTTTTAACTCATCATCTCAGGTCAGTCTTCAAACAAGTAGTAAATATCTCCTTCAGACAAGTACAGCTGTAGCAATTATTATGGTAAGAACAACTGCACACTCTTTTTCAAGGAGTGACCACGTGGTTTTGAATTCTCTGACTGTCCACAGTTATCGAATGATTACTCATACACGAAATTTACAAACTTTTTAAGGAGGAAATAAAAACCATCATAATCAGTCAGAAGTTTAATGGGCAGTTTCCTCAAAGCCATTTGCCACTGTTGTGCTAGTGCCGGATGCAAGACACTTCTGACCTTCTGTTCATTTAAACAAAAAGAAAACAAAACATAATTATAAAGTAAAAGACATTCAAACCTGAGACTCTGATAGTTATTGGCGTGTTTTAATAATTTAAATATCAAGAATTATTCATCTTACAGCAACAACGCTTCGTGTAAAACGTAAATTTTAGAAATGAGGAAAATAGTTTTGAAGAGTTGTTTAAACGTGAAATAGCGCATATTTCATTCTTTTCTACAATGATTAAAATTTTTACTTTTTATTTTTTTTGATTCAGTTGTACCTCAAAGTCTTTTTGTCTGACACTGTACTCCAAATCGTATTTCAGCTCTTCAAGTTGAGTGACTTTCGTGTAGAAATCCTGGGCGATCTTCTCCAGTTCAGCTAAAAACGGAACGCTTAAACAAGGCACACTTTATGATTCAATAACCGTACCTTGGTTGTTTATGGAGTCTACGTCCGGAAGCTTAATGATACGTTCGTTCAGAACGCGCTGTCTTTCTTGTTCCTTCAGTAACTGCTGCTGTTTCAAGTCTTCAGCAGCTTTTTTCATCAACAGTTGCTATAAAGTAGCAATACAGTAGCATATAAAACAACGTAAATATTGATAAATAACATGCCAATAAATCAACAGGTAAATGTGATCAAACAACTGGTCCCTGATTTATGCGTCATTTTTTTTGAAGATAATTCTTTCGACATTACATTCGTGTACTTGACATCAGAACATTTTCGAAACGACACAATACTTAGCAGTTTTCGTTTGTGGTGCAGAATTGTCTTCGTTATAAACATACAGCACACATACATGTTAATGTAGAAGATCACCGCTATATGTTAATATTCTTCATCGATTAAATCATTTAGAGTTTAAAAAGGTGTTTTCTGTATAAAAAATTTATTAAACAAACTCCTGATATTTAGGATCGAGCTGAATTCATATTTAAGAAACATTGTATAACAACAAATGCAAGAAAACAATATCAGCGATGTTGTTGCGTACGGCAGAACCGTCTTAAGCGGTAGATGACATCAACGAATTGCTATCACGTATTGTGGTCGACAGAGCTGACAGATTTAGATTAATTCAGGACCGATCATCCTCACCTATATCCTTGTTGTCTTCTTCCAGCTTGATAACAAGTCTTCGACGCTATCTCTGTTAAGAAATTTGAATGTTTACATAAAAACCACCTTTTCAATTTTCTGGTTCTGGCAGTTTCTTCTCGAGCCATACGTCTGCTATGCTTTCCCGGCCAATGAAATTCTTATTGGAAAATCCGGAGAGAAATAAGGACATCTGAGATGCTTCAAAAAAAAACCTTACAGAATCTTCTGGAATAGAAAAAGAGACCATGTTAGCTAAAACGCGAATGTAACTTTTATTTAATTTGCGAGATATAATATAAGCATAAGTTTTATAGAAAACTCACTTATTGCATCTGCCGTTTGAAGTAAGAAATTAAATCTTAAATTTTAATTTCAAGAACATTTTGATGTGACTGAAGATATCAATTACATAAATCAGTTTAGAAGAATATGCTATTGAGACAAATACCTTCATCTGGTTTAGGAAGCAGAAAACATTATGACGACGCGGTTGATCGGTCTTTTCCCTACTCAAGCCTTTAGATCACTATCACCTTATTTAAAGGTTAAATTTATGTAATAGAAACTAACAGGTTAATGTGAGGTTTTGAGTTTCCTAGGTTTCAAGCAGTTAATTATTCTTAGGCCCTTGTTCAGAGCCATTAGAAGAGTAATGACACTAAAAGGACTTTCAGCTATTTATGAAAGATTTCAAAAAGGACAGAATTAGGGTCTTCACCAGACGTCGACGAATTTACTTCTTACCTTTGCCAATTCTTTGCGAAACAAAAGTTCTATGGAGCGCCGAAAATTATTTTATTATATCGAGGTCCAAGTCAAAGCATTTATTAGTACGCGTTTTATAACGTTATATTTAATAAACAGTGGGAAAGATACGTTGCGAGAAAAACCGAAAATCGTTAGAACAAAGTGATTTTAGAGCGGGTTATAACAGAGAGTGAACAGCTCGTGCAAAAGCCACCATATCAAGTGAAAAATTTGGTTGAAGCAATGTTGATTAGACTCACGGAAGATAATTTATGTAGCTAAGTCTGTCGAAGCCTTTCTCCATCTCTGAGAATGATTATATCAATAGATATAATACGATTTAATACTGGTTTAGTAATAATCCATCGTTTATAATATTTTCGAAATTCTGTCGTGGCTTCCTTTTTTCCCTGGATTACTTTGAAGCCACCTTGGAATATCGTGTACACAGTCTTCTTTTCCGATGCGCTTTCCAACTCCTCGTAGAACTGCTCGATCTTTACATGTTCAGCTAATTGAGATGGGCTGTAAGCTCAATTTATTTTGCTTGTTTGTCTTTAGAAGCAGAAGTGCCATATGAAGCGGCTATAGTGGCGCGGCTTACTACTAACGGTAAGGCATTCCATTTTATTTTATGAACCGACCACCGTCGGTTCGAGCTGGGTGCTCTAACGTTCGGCCGAACAGCACATGGTTTTCCGTTGTTCCGCTGTATAGCAAATCGATAGATCTTGAGCATATTTTAAAGACGTCCGCCTTGATCTTCCGTCATCGACGAATACATAAATAATAACTTTCCATCGATGTTAACTACGCTTATTTCTAGTTATACAGTCACCGAATTTAGAACGACAGAATATCGGTCTCACCTGTTGAAATCTAACGTTTGACCTGTCGAATACTGTCACCGTATTACAAGCAAACGCTGTGAACAGCCCTGGACAGTTATAACTTACACTAATATTATTTGCTAATAGTAGACAAGGTTATCAGCTGTTATCAACCATCACTCTCCTCTTTCGGCGTGCTCAGTTAACACTGCATACTCCGCTGCTTACGGTTCAGAAGATCCTAACAGTATATCATGGCCGACCCGTCGATGAAAAGAAACACCACCATTGTCCCCCGCAGCTGGCACTATCACTGATAAATCTGCAACATCATTTCAAATGAACAGACATCACTAACCCAGATACTCTGCTGTCGAAGCATTCTAAACTTTAGATGAGGTTGACAGGAAATACATGGTAATCATGAAGTTCTCATTTTACAATTTATTGGACGCAAGTGAGTTCACTGTCTTGACGTTCACAGAGTTGCGTAGTGAAGAGGGCACTGCTTCTAAATCAGAAACGTTTCAGTGATTTCCAGCAATAATAATTCTATGCCTTAATTCTGATCAGAATTCATGTTGCATAGTCATTTTCCGATGCCTCCATTTGTCCTGAGTCTGAGGGGAAAGCATTAATGCTCGCCGGGACTTTGTAAATTCACGTTTGAATTTACAGTGCGATGCATAGATTAATATATACAATAAACATGCATTAATATAGTATTCTATTATTTCTATTCCTTGAAAGTCGAATCTCAATTCAACTTTATGCACGGCAGATCAGAAACTGTTGGCCAAGGAGATACTAACGAAGGAATACAACGAGGCAAGTTTCATTTCTTTGTTTCCTGCAGCCATTTTGTTACTGATTCAACAATGATTATTTTTGCAGTAACGCATTCCTGTACATTTTAGTACAGTGGACATGCA